CAAGGGTGGGACAGGGAACCTGGATCCTCCCCTGGGGACCCTCCTGTTACAGTCCTCTCTGTCACCAGCATGTGCATGTGTGTGGGTGACACCAGCCCTGCAAGGACAGGCAAGGCCCCGGATGTGCGCAGTTCCCTGGGCAGTCACATGCCAGCACTGCTGCATCCCCCTAGATGAGGCAGACGCTCCAGACCCCAGTGGGAGCCCGTGTCATCCACACAGACCTTCCTCCCACAGTGTCCCCTGTGCTGCCCCTTCCCTGCCTGGTCCTCTTTGGCTCCCCACTGCACCCCTTTCCACCTCTGTCCCCCAAAGTCCCCATTTGCATCCTCTGCTCTCTTTTCTAGGAGAGTCTCCATCTTCCTAGCCAGTGTCCAAGGAGTAGCCTCTCCCCCAGCACAGGGGCCTGATGTCCAGGCTTTAGGGAGCAGCACGTGACTCAGTAGAGAGACTCCCATAGATCCCATCTGTGGGGACCCAGAGCTGTGAGTGAGGTGTGTCCCTCCTAGACCTTTCCCCCTGCTAGAGGCAAGACTGAGGTCAGACATCACTGACGGAAACAGGAGCCCCAGGGCCTACCCCTGGGTAGACTCAGAGCAGATCATGTCAGCAATCTGTGCCTCAGTTTCTCCTCTGGCACCTGGGATATGCCATTGTTATAATTATTTTATTTATTTATTTATTTTATTTTTATTCTTTAAAAAAAATTTTAAACTATATTTACTTCCCCCCACCCCCTCAGGTCGAGTCCCCATAGGATTTCCTTCCCCAAGGACGCCTGCACCATCACCAAGGTCCCCTGTGCTCCTCCCTCCCTCTCTCTGATCCCTCTCCCTCCTCCTCCCCTGCAGGATGTCTCTGGTTTGTAATTGTCTGTTTTTGCTTTGTTGTGTTTTGTACTGTTATTATTTTTTTACATTGATGTTCTTATTTGTTTCCCCTATATTCCTGTTATAAGTGAAACCATCTGATATTTTTCTTTTTCCTTCTGGCTTATTTCACTGAGCATAATTCCTTCTAGCTCCATCCATGTTGCTGCAAATGGCATGAGTTTATCTTTTTTGATTGCTGAATAACATTCCATTGTGTATATATGCCACATCTTCTTGATCCACTCATCTATTTTTGGGCCTTTGGCTTGTTTCCAGGTTTTACCTATTATAAATAATGCTGCAATAAACATAGGTGTACAGGTGTTCTTTGGAATCAATGTTTTTGTGTCCTTTGGGTAGATCCCTAGGAGTGGAATTGCCGGGTCATGTGGTAGCTCCATTTTTAGTAGACTGAGGAACCTCCAGACAGCTTTCCGTAGTGTTTGGACCAGTTTGCACTCCCACCAGCAATGTAGGAGAGTTCCTTTTTCACCACATCCTCGCCAACATTTCTTGTTGCTTGTTTTTTTGATGTGTGCCATTCTTACTGGTGTAAGGTGGTATCTCAGTGTGGCTTTGATTTGCATTTCCTGATTATAAGAGATGTTGAACACTTTTAAATATGCCTGTTGGCCATTTGCATTTCCTCTTTGGAGAACTGTCTTTTAAGTTCTTCTGCCCATTTCTTGACTGGATTGTTTATTTTGTTTTTGTTGAGTCCTGTGAGTTCTATGTATTTCTTTGTGGTCAGTACCTTATCAGTTGAATGGAGTGCCAAGACTTTTTCCCAGTCAGTGGGGTGTCTCTCTGTTTTAGTTCATGTCTCTTTTGCTGTGCAGAAGTTTTTCAGTTTGATGTAGTCCCAGGTGTTTATCTTTGCCTTCACTATCACTGCTTTGGGTGATGAGTCTTTAAAGATGTTTCTGAGATGTATGTCTTGTAGTGTTTTACCTATATTTTCTTCTATATATTTCATGGTCTCAGGTCTTATATCCAGTACTTTTATCCATTTTGAGTTGATTTTTGTGCACGGTGAGAGGTAGTGGTATAGTTTCATTTTTTTGCATGTGGAGGTCCAGTTTTCCCAGCACCATTCATTGAACAAACTGTCTGCATTTCATTGTATATTCTTTGCTCCTTTCTCAAAGATTAGTTGTTCATGTAAGTGTGGCTTTGTTTCTGGGCTCTCTATTCAGTTCCATTGGTCTGTGTGTCTGTTTTTGTTCCAATACCAAATTTATTTATGCATACAAGAACTGGGGTGTAGGCCAGACGTGCAAGGGGTGAGATGATTCACCAGAGACAGAGTTGAGAGCAGAACAGGCAGATCTGCTGAGGGGAGCAGCAGATGAGACAGGAGAGGTTTTCTGGGCCATGTGGGTCAGCTCCCTGGCTGGGGATTGAACTCATGTTGCAGTGGCTGGTGATAGCTTGATAGCCCTGAGACTTGAACCCCTGCCCCACCAAGGAGGCCCATGCCATTATTATTCATAAGTATTATTGAAACAATTTATCACTAGGGTAAATGGTTTTCAGGCTTTTCTGCCTTCCTGGGATTAGGAGTGCCCTGCCCGATGGGGCACCTGCATTTGTTACATTGTTATAGTTGTCTTATTTACTTCTGTGGGCCTTGACTGCAGTATTGAGGTATTTCCCCAGGAGAAGCAAAAGCAGGATAGAGGCAGGAGAGAGAAGGGGAGAAAGATTGCCAGAGAAGCCCAGAGTGGACACTCACCCGGGGCTTGGAGGCCTCCTGTCCTGCTGGCCTCCTGGCCTCCTGGCACCCCTGCCTGCCATGTACCTGGTTGCTGCACTACACATAAAGCTCAATAAAAACCTGAGAAAGCCACCAAGGGCTCCAGGATTCCTCCTTTATCTGGTCTGCTCGGATCATAGATGAACCAGCACTGTGGCCATCCTGCCACTATAATCACCATCTTACAACTGACACAGAGCACCTTTACTGCTCACGGCCACTCTGGAGGCAAAGGGGAAAGTGTGGCTTCTCCTCCCCAGGAGAGAAGTGGGTCTCAGGAGGAGGGTCTGTGGGTCACTTGCTCCCTCAGATAGAAGAGCAGCTCTAATGGGGCCCTGGAGGTGACCTTACCCCTGTGTCTGCAGTGTCCACGTGGGAAGAGGGGTCTCTAAGCATGTCTGCCCTTATTGTCCATCCTCACTGTCTGTGGCTGCAGAGTTCGTGTCTGCCTGATGTGGACGCTGACTGTGCAGACGACTGATTGGAGGCTGGCTTGGAATGTGGTTATGTGATCTTGTCCCAGTGAGTGGGACAGGAAGGCAAGACCAACCATCAGTGTATAGCATTTGCCTTGTAGTGAACAGGGCATGGCACTGTAAAGCAGCCTGGCTTGGGTTGTCACTGATGCCAGTGAGAGGACAGCTGACCAGTAGGTGGGGTGGAAAATGAGAGCAAGGCTGAGCAAGTGGCCCCTGTATTCACCAGGAAGGTGTCTCTCTCTTTGTTATTTATGGGGTCACCGAGGCTTTTCCTTAGAGTTATTACCTGGGGAGCCTGTCTCACCTTTGGGCTCCTTTAATGAAGGTCTTTTCCTCCTGCACTGGGGTCTTTCCAGTCAGAGGCAGCTTATGATCTGTTTGTCCTGCATTCTGGCCTGTGGGTTGGGCTGCGCCTCCCTTTGTAGAGAGTGGGATAGTCCCTTTTCCAGCGCCCTGTGTGACTGCACAGAGGGTGTAAGGTAAATGGTTTTTCAGGCTTTTCTGCCCTCCCACCATTAGGTTTGCCCTGCTGATGGGGCACCTGCAGTTGTTACATTGTAGCAAATTATCTAATTTACTTCCGTGGGCCATGGGAAGAATATAGCCATAGTCATCAAGCAGAGAAGAAGCAGGAAAGAGGCAGGAGAGAGAAGGGGAGAAAAGAAGGCCACAGAAGCCCAGAGTGAAGACTTGCCTGGGGCCTGGAAGCCTGCTGGCCTCCTGGCCCTCTGGCCCCCGGGAGCCCCTGTGTGCTGTGTACCTGGTTGCTGCAATGCATGTAAAGCTCAATAAAAGCCTGAGAGACCCACTGAGGGCTCCAGGACTCTCCTTTACCCGTCTGTGGCATCATAGATAACCTGCTCGTGCCCATCTTGCTCCTACAGAGGGCATGGCCCTGGGCAGTCTCTTTGGATACTTGTGGCTGAAATGTCCTGTTTGCTTGAGGCCCTTTTAGAGAGGCAGAAGATTTACATTAGTTTCTCAGAGTCCTTTTGTTTCACTTGGTCTCATGAGAAAAAGGCAGCTTCCCCATCAGCTGCTGTGGTTTTCACTTTAGTCTCCAGCATTTTCCCTCTTGCCTCAGTTGTGGCGTTAGATTTGAAATTTATACTCCCAGCCTCCCCCAGGATTTCTTTGTTCTCTAGTTTATGAGCTGGCCAGGCAGGAGCTCAGAAGATGGAGGACACAGTCCAGGGATGAGCAGGCAGTGGAGGGCTCTTACCCACCTGGAAGAGAATGACAGGAAAAGCACCCCCTTTTTTTGTCATCTCTACCTGTAGCCAAAAGGCACCCCTCGGAATTGTGGGGGGAAGGTGACATGCACTCACAAGTTGGAGGGAAGAGATCCCGTTGATTAGTCACCCTTACCTATGCCCAGCAGCCCCTCCTCCTGTCCCTACACCTTTCCACAGGTCTGAAGACCCAGTAGGGCACCTGCCTGGAGGGCGGGTCTCAGGGGCTGGTGAGACACCAGGACACAGAGGAGGAGCCTTTCCCAGCTTCCAGGACAGTATCTGTGGTGCCTGAATGGAGGAGCAGGGAAACCAAAGAGGGGATCCAGGGGCCAGTCCAGGGAGGACAGAAAATCTGTGAGGACAGACTCTGAGGTGGACTGGTACAACGCAGCAGTTTTCAACTGTTACCTTCTCAGTTTGTGTGGGGAAATGTGACCACAGACCAACATTTTGTGCAATGCTGTGGTAACAGTAACAAAGCACCTGTGAAATTTTCTGCCAAGTTCATTTCCTTAGTGTTCAGGGGCAGATAATCTGCCCCCCCCCCACCATGGGGAAATTCTTCTTCTCTATTCGATTCACAAAAAAACTACACACCCCCTTACACCACAGTGTCAGTGGAGCTCAGTCATGTATTTTAATATTGTCTTCTGCTTAGGCTCAGGGAGGCAAATTGCCCAAAAACAAGCTGGATATAATCTGAGCACTTTTGATGGTCATTTCAGCTACAACCTGGAAAATAATTTGACTGTCCCGCCACTTTACAAAGGTATGGAATTTTCATGCTGTTATATGAAATGATTTTTATTTTTATGTCTTCGAAAATTAAGAAAAGTTGATGGTTGATATGATGTTTGAGGCTATAAGGTTTCTGGCTTGTGTATTTTCGGTTAATAACTTGTTATATAATGTTAAGACAGTACTCATATAATGGAATTGATGTGATTTGGGTGACTGCATCCAGGATAATTATGAAGTGAAATCATTATTTCCTTGTCTTTCTTTTTTTATGAAAGATTTATTTTTATTTATTTATGCATACAAGAACTGGGGCATAGGCCAGAAGGGTGAGGGGGAAAAGAGTCACTGGATACAGAGTGGGGAGCAGAACAGGCAGATCTACTAAAATGCACTGCTGAGGGGAGCAGCAGGCGAGACAGGAGAGGTGTGCTTTGCCTTGTGGAGCTCCCTGGTTGGGGATCAAATTCATGCCATTGTGGCTGGTGATAGCTTAATAGTGCTGAAACTTAACCCCTGTGCTACCAGGTGTGCCCTATTTCCTTGTCTTTCATCTAACTTCAGACATTTGTTTTTCTAGAAGAAATGATCATCTATTGCATTAATGAAATTATGTGTCACACATTGCCTGTAAATACAAATTTGTCTAATAAAACTGATAATTAGAATATTTACCATAGATATAAATGGTAATATATAGCTGTGAAGGTATAAAAACAGCTGAGCTGCTGCTTATGATTATCTAATAGTCTTGTGGATGAAAGGAAAAGGGAGAGTTAGATAAACTTATCTGTTGAAAGGTCAAAGATGAATAACCTATTATATGTTGATGGATCACATTTATATGGGACAATAAGATATTTTGGAGTTTTGCACCTAAAACCCCCCATATGGTTGAAAAAATCAAAGTTATCAGAATAAATATAATAAAATAAATAGCTATGAAGATGACTCAGGCCTGGGCTCTGTCCCAAGGAGAGTGTGGTCACAGGAACGTGCTGAGAATGGAGGGGCCAGGGAGGCTTCAGATTGGACTGTGGTAGTTACTCCAAAGGAGGGAGGGCGGATAAATTGTATTGTTAAGTGAGACACATCATTAAATTATTTAAATGTTCATTGTTTCCAAGAGAAGAAAAGAAAAATATACATAATGTTCTTGACAGGGGTCACAGCTCCTCCAGTAGTGTACTCAAGATTTGTGCATTTCTCCAGATAGAGTTTTATCTCATAAAAAGATTCTTAGCTCAAGTGCTGAGAAATGAAAAGTGGGGAGTCCCTAGTCACATGAGGGGTTAAGTCTCAGCACTGCGAAGCTATTGGCAGCCATTGCAGTTAGAGTTCTAACCCCGGCCAGGGAGCTGACCCACATGGCACAGCAGACCTCTCCTGTTTCGCCCGCTGCTCCCCTCAGCAGTGTATTTTGGTAGATCCACTTGCTCTGCTCCCTATACTGTCTCTGCTGAATCCTCTTACCCACACACCTCTGGCCTGCACCCCAGCTCTTGTATGCATAAATAAATAAAACAAATCTTTAAAAAAAAATCAAAGAAAGATGGGTACTGACATCTGCAACTAACTTTGAAATGCACCAGAAACATAAGATGGATGAATAGAGACATGGAGCTGTGGATAAAGTTGAGTGATAAAGCTAATGTGGCGAATGCTAATGCTGAATCTAGGGTCTGCTCTGCACTGTTATTTCAATTTCTCTGTGTGCTTGAAAATGCTCATAAAATACCACAGACTGAGGGGTGAATGTGGCCACACTCTGTGCGTAGGTCAAGGCCTCTAGCCTGTCCTTAAAAGCCTTTGAATGCACCCATTTTTCTGAGTTGTCTGGGCGTGGAGCCCACCACAAACTTCCTCCACGAGGCTTCAGCCTGTCAAAAATCATGGCTCTGAGTTTTCAGTGTCTCCTCTGTGTTAGCTCCCAACATGCTCATGCATCTGCTTCTAGGAGGTTCTGCAGCAGCTGCTCTCTGGATTTGGCCTGGTTCCTCTCTATCGACACCTGCATCAATTGAGTTGTGTCTTATTAGAATTTTTTAATGTGTTCCTTGACCAGAATCATGTGTTCTTTCAGAAAAACTGTCTCCTGTGTCAGGTCTTGGGCACCACAGAGCATGTGGGGCATGTTCTGAAGGGCCTGGCGACTTGTGCTTTAGCTCTTGGGTGAACAGCTACAGCCTCCTCCCCAGGGAGGCTTGTCACTGCCTTCCCGGCAGCCTTTCTAGGGCCCCTGATGTTGCCCTGCTCTCTGCTCCTTCACATTGAGGTTTTCAGCAAGCATCTTGGAGAAGTCCCTGCCCACACCACCCAGGCCTCTTGCCCAAGCCACGAGAGCTGGCTCTGAGTGGCAAGGAGGCCTGGAAGGTGGCCTCTTTGGAATCCACAGACGAGCATTTACACCCCACCCCGAGGGCCCTCTGGCAGGTTGTTGAGATACACCCCAGGATCCAGGGTTTGCATCATTGTGACCTTGTGAGAGCCAGTCACAGCTGAGCAGTGAGTAGAACAGGATGCTTTTCGTTCTTGGATTGGTTTTTTATTGCCCCTGATATTGTAATTATCCTGTTCCCTCACTAGCTTATTTCCTGTTGTGCTCATTCTTAATCACCCCCAAGACAACCTCAGGGTCAGAATCTCCATGGACGTATCACACACACCAGCTATTCTGCCCACTTTATCCTGGGCAGACCCCTGTCCCGCAGCCTCAGTCCTGCCTCCCAGGGCCTGGGGCCTGATCACCTGGGCAGGGCTGAGGGCCTGGATCCCTCACCTCACCCTTGGCCTGTCTCCTGTCCCTGCTCCCCTGTGGTTGATTTTCCTGTGTCCTGTTCTCTGTGTCCAACATCTTTGTTTCCCTTTTTGCCCACTAGTGCCCTTTGCCTACTAGAGGAGGGACGTGGAATGTCACCCCTGAGACCACAAACAGCTGAAGTGAATGTCTGTTCCCCCAGCGCCTCCCCTTACCTGGGCCTGACATGGAGTCTGGGCTGGATTCCCCTGAGGACTGGGCAGGCCGGGCTCCAGGGTCTTCCAGGCCTGAGTTGTCTCTTGAGGGCCCCAAGGTCTGTCCTTCTCCAGCCTCTTTCTGAAAGTCCCTGGGGCGGGTCATGGTGTGGGGGTGCTGCTCATCCCCTGTAGGAGGAACCGGGGAGGACACTCAGCGTGCACATTTTATCTGAGTGCTCAGGGATTTTCTTGAATTTTTTCATCATTTCCACTCTCCATTCTTTTCGACATTTGTATTGTTATTTGGAATCTCCTGGTTGATAGACTCAGTTTCTTGTAGGTCTTCTCTCTGCTTGTCATTTCTTTTCCATTTACATTATTTAGTGGGAGTGAGACTTTGATATTCCAGTTCATCTTCTCATTTATTCATTTCTATGATTAAAATCTCTAATTTTCAAGAACTCTTATTCTGAGCACCTGAAATTTTATAACATCTTTTTTCTTTTTCCTTTTTGTTTTTAGTACTAGAAAGTAACAAAATTTTCCTAAATATGCATAGGGAATCTACATCTAAATGAGTGTGTGAAATCTGTGCAGGAACCCAGGGTGAGCTAAGGAGTGAGATGGGGTCCTGGCACCCCAGGTGAGAGGAGGGGATCACATGGCAAGGACAGGGTGACTCATGACAAAGGTCTGATATTCAGGCCTCCCTGGTGGCACAGCGGTTGAGCGCTGAATTGCAAAGCTGCCTGCAGCCTCTGCAGCACCTGATAGATCCCAGGCTGCTCCCAGGCCACTGGAGGAGGGTCCCACAGGGCGCGCAGACCTCTCCTGCTGCCCGCTGCTCCCCTCAGCAGTGTACTTCAATCCTTCTGCCTGCTCTGCTCCCCGCTCTGGCTCTGGTGAATTCTCTCACCCTCCCGCGCTTCTGACTGTACCCAGTGCTTGTATAAATAAATAAATAAATCTTTAAAAAAAAAAAAGGATATGTATATTTAAAAAAAAAAAAAGGTTCTGATATTCTATGTTTGCCCTGACATAGTAGGTTTCTCAGATACAAAGCTTGTTTCTGGTAATAAGCCTAATTTTGGGTAAGGCCAACCATTTTCATACTAGGTAGTTATAGATGTGGTAACCATTTCTTGAGATGAACCTCTGATGATCCGCAGATGAAAATAATTCACGTGCGAATTGGCCTCTCTGGGGGACACCTTTCTGAACATCTTGGGGGAGGCCTGTCCTTCAGCGCATAATAAATGAGGGAAGAGCAGATGAGGGGGAGGACGGAGCCAGGGCTAGGCTGTAGATTAGGCTACAGGCCTCTTAAGTATGGTTGGGTGCTGGGGCAGGACGTGGAGGGGGCTGAGGGCAGAGGGGACAGGCTGGTCTATGGGGCCAGAGCACATGTGTCAGGGATAGAAGTGACAGTTATGGGAAGAGATAAAATCTTTTCCTTATGCTTAATTTTTTTTAATATATATGTTTTTTGATACTATCTGATTTTTTGATACTTTTGATACTATTGATAGTAGTGGTCGGGTCCTATTAGGGCTCCTGCTTCTCTGCGTTCACAATAAACACGCTCCTTCCTCCCAGCATGGGGCTCAGGTGGGGTTTACACGTGTCTTTGTCACCTTTACTCAGTGTCCATCTCTCCTGACAGTGCAAGCTCCACATCTCCAGGGTCCTGTCTCTGCTCCCCATTGTATCTGCAGGGGAGGCAGCTTGGGGAGGCAGGAGACAGCCAGGGAGAGGGATTCTGGGAAGTGAAGAGGAGGCAAAGGCAGAGAATACTTGGGAGATGCTCCCTGGTTCACTGAGAAAAGCATTTCTCAAAGTGTGGTCTGTGGAGCCCTTGAAGTCACCCAGAACCTTTCATGGGGTCTATGAGGCAAAACTAGTTTCAAAACATCACCTAGACACCATTTGTCTTTTCACTATTTGGCATTTGCTGAGGTAAAAATTCATAAGAGTGGAGCTTATAGCACCACTGCAGAAGTATAATTCTTCACCAGCACTTACCTGCAGGAACAAAAATCAAAGCCAGTTTCACTTGAAAATGTCCTGGGAAAAGCATTAAAAGTTATCTTCATTATTGCATCATCCTCAACTCCACATTTTAAAATATCTGGTGTGCTGACCTGGAAGGACACACAGAGCACTCTGAGGCATCCCAAGCCCTGTGTCCTGAGGAAAATATTTGTATGAGATGAATTAGACTCTTTTTATTTGTGGGCAACACCAATTTTACCTGAAAGAAGGAATGACACAAACTAAGGTTATTTAAATTTGGGTAATTAGCAGACACTTTCCTCAAAATGAGTGTCTGTTTCTTGAAGAAAATCAACAATGGCAAACGACAGTAACGTTGCCTGATAAAATATAAGCTCTCAGAGAAAACCAGAATTATGAAAAATTGAGTGCATCACTACTTGACAATTTATAGTATGAATTTTCTTTTGGGATTATTATTAAAAAATAAAACATTTTTTGATCATTTGATTCCAGTGTAATTAACACTAAAGATCTATGTAACTTAGTGAAACAATGTATCACCTTAAAAAACCATACATTAGCACAAGTCCCAACCAATATGCAAGAGAGGCCTATGGAAATGTAACAGAATAGGAAATATTCCCTGATATTATTTCAGGTTTCACTTTGCAAATAACCTTCGAGAAACCACCACCTGTACAGTTTTAATTCACGCTGGAATATTCACAATTACCTGAAAACGCTACTAGTTTCTTCATTCCTCAGGCTGCTCCTTCTCCCAGCCCAAATCCACTCCTCCCTAAGGTGAGGAAGGGAATTTGGAGCCTCCCCTGTCTGTGGATGTCACTCTGTCACAGCATCATGTCTCCCTCTCACAGGCTCTGTGGGGTGGTGCAGCCTTGATGACCCCACACTCACCCCCATTCTCTCTCCCCATTTCCTGGGGGTGTCCAGGGAAGACAATCAGCATCATCCTGCTCCAGTTACAAAGTCTCCAAGGACCCTCCTGGACTCCTTCTCCCCAGGCCCCTGGAAGGAGTGTGATGCCCCTCACCCTCCTGCTGCTGCTCTGGGGGCCCCTGGCCCTGATGGAGACCCGGGCGGGTGAGTGCGTGTCCAGCTGGACACTGTGCTCCAGGAGGGAGGAGCAAGGAGCCCCTGCGGGTGCAGGACCCCAGGAAAGGCTCATCTCCCCCCAACCTCTTGTGCCCCTTCAGGCCCATTGTGTTCTGGCCTCTTCTTCTGCCCCTCCCGCCTGCCTGAGTGCTCTGGTCCCCTGAGTCTGGGCCCTTCTTGGCCCACCCCCCTTTTTCACTCTCACGGCCCGCCCTTTCTCCCCTCCAGGCCCATCTCCCTGGGACCTGGGCCCGTGCTGAGAGGAGGGTCAGCCCTGGTCTCCCCCTCCCGCCCCCAGGCTCCCACTCCCTGACGCTTTTCTACACCGCGATGTCCGGCAATGGCAACGGCAACAGCAAAGGCAATGGCAACCACAACCACAATGGGGAGCCCCGCTTCATCGCTGTGGGCTACGTGGACAACACACAGTTCGGGCGGTTTGACAGCGACTCTCAGGGCCAGAGTGCGGAGCCCCGGGCGCCCTGGGCGGGGCAGGTGGGGCAGGAGGAGCAGGACGAGGAGACTCAGATCCAAAGGAACAACGCACAGTGGTTCGAAGCGCTCCTGAGGGACCTGCGCGGCCGCTACAGCCAGAGCGAGGACGGTGAGCTTCGCGGGGCGGTGCCAGCGTCAGGTCACACCCCCATTCCCACCCTAAGGCCCGGGTGTCCCGAGTCTCAGGGTCCACTGACCCCTCGAGGC